TGTTGTGTGTGCTTTATTCACTACTATATATATATAGACACACACATATATATTGTATATGCATATGCATATATAATATATGTATATATGAATATATATATATATATATATATATATTATTATATGTATATATACATACGTATATATGCTTATACATATATATGTATATATATATATTTATTTATTTATATATATAAAACATACATACACACACACACACAAATATATATATATATATACATACATACATACATACATATATATATATATATATATATATATACACACACACATATGTATGTATATACACATATTCATGAATATTTGTAAATCTATGTATAAATGTGTAACGAAGGAATTCACACTGTTAAACATATGGGAAAATTAACAAAATAATTAGTAAACAATACTTTCCAAATTTCCATTCCCACATGACCTTGAAACTAAATCAACATTATTAATCTCTGGTAGTGCTGCCACCACTCGAAAATTTGGATTTAGAGGAAATCTTGAGAAAAAACAATTTTGACGATTAATTTTCAATTGGGTAGCATGACTTAAACTGTCTAAATGCTCGTGGGGTGGATTTAATTCATTCTTTTATTAAGTGCGTGTCAAATATACAATAGTAATAGATACATTTTTAACCAAAAGCATTTTATCCAATAAACGAAAATAATAATGAACAGGTGGCCTATCATTATGTAAATATAAAAAAAATATTCTAATATAAACGCAATATTCTTTACTAATCTAATTCATATGTAATTCATATCTATAACCTCCCTTTCCTACTAATTATAATAGTAATCATTAACAGAAACAAAATAAAAATATGTGAGACGGATTCGAAACGTTCACACTCCTACCAGTATCTTCCATGATGTTACCTGCTCATAAAACAATCGTTCCCTTTCCTTTTAATCTTCATAATTTTCCTCTCTTACCCTTTACTTTAATAAATAAATCCAGTCTCAGTCTATTCATTGATACTACCGGAACTGTCACATTCCATTGCTGTATCCACGGGCCGTAAAGTGAATGAAGGAACTATTGATTAGATGTTCATAACAAGAAAGCATCCTGGCGTGTTGTTTTCGCCACGAATTTTCACAATCTTTCTCTCTCTCTCTCTCTCTCTCTCTCTCTCTCTCTCTCTCTCTCTCTCTCTCTCTCTCTCTCTCTCTCTCTCTCTCTCTCTCTCTCTCTCTCTCTCTCTCTCTCTCTCTCTCTCTCTCTCTCTCTCTCTCTCTCTCTCTCTGTAGGTGGGCAGCAGAATCAAGACATCTAAATCATCATCAATACACAGGGATTTTATAATTATATTAATCGAATTATCAAGCATTTCAATCAATAATAACAGGCTAAACCTGTTAAATTTGGCTATATTGATATGCCTTTAGCAATGCAAAAATATTTAAACAAATATTTCAGTGACACATGCACCTTTAAAATTAGAACCAACGTATCTTTTTAAATGTCGAATAGATACCGAACTCAACATATGTATAGAAGCATATATATATATATATATATATATATATATATATATATATATATATATATATATACATATATATATATATATAAATATATAAATCTATCTATCTATCTATCTATCTATCTATCTATCTATCTATCTATATATATATATATATATACATATATATATATATATATATATATATATATATATATATATATATGTGTGTGTGTGTGTGTGTGTGTGTGTGTGTGTGTGTGTGTGTGTGTGTGTGTGTGTGTGTGTGTGTGTGTGTGTGTGTGTGTGTGTGTGTGTGTGTATGTGTGTGTGTATGTATACATAAGTATATATATATAGATAGGTAGATAGATAGATAGATATGTGTGTGTGTGTCCACTTGTGATTAACTCAACGATTGCTTAGTCAATCAACTGAGAAATCTCTATCTGAGTATGGTATTTGACATCTTGGTATATTGGTCTGAAAATCGTATACCAAATCTCCGCTTATAAGATATGCCATCTGCCGCTAAGTCGGGATTTTAATGATTATCTTCCCTTAAATCTACTCACAGTTGAACCTCTCTTCTGTACGTTTGAGTTGAAGATAGATATATTAAAGTAACAGATTTTTAGTTACCTTACGACACATTTGCTCTTTGATCTTAACAGCCTGCACTATACGCATTAATTATTACCTTAAATATTCATGATCTTTTAATCTGTATTTATTACAAATTCACATAAACTGCGCGAGAATTAAAGTTTTGGCAGCGTCGATCAGATACCAACCGGTCTCTTAGCTTAGCGGGATTAGCAACATTCTTTTTATTTTCTTTATTTTCAATTAGACAGTAAAATGATTAGATTTCAGTTCAACTATCGATGACCCTTATTTCCCCCCTTCCTAAGTGACCCTTTGGAATAAGGAAATCTTTCTTACTACACAGCGCCTTAGTTACACTGGCACACAATCCTTCCATCTCGAGCTCTATAACACTGACTGAATTCCCTTTGTACCCTTTGACCTCGTGACCTGGGTCGACTGCCCTGGCGTGAGGAACTTCCCTCGTCAAGTTACAAGGATGAACCCGTCCTCGACAGTCACTTGTACTCATCGGTTAACTATCAGGTGACACTGGCTCTCCCTGAAGATCGCCTTTTGCCTTCCTTTGAATGGAACTCTCTCTGTAGTCAATTTTTCTATCCACTGACACAAATATACATACATATACATACATATATATATATATATATATATATATATATATATATATATATATATATATATATATATATATATAACATATACATAACTAGATAGATAAATATATGTATATATATATTTTACATATATTTATATATGTATATATATGTGTGTATATTATACATACATTACACACATATACGTACACACATATACATATAAACATATATATATATATATATATATATATATATATATATATATATATATATATATAATATATCTGTGTGTGTGTGTGTGTGTGTGTGTGTGTACATTTACATATATTGATATAATATATATATATATATACGTATAACAGTATATATATATATGTATCAATATATACACACACGCACACACACACATATATATATATGTATGTGTGTGTGCATATATGTGTATACACACTAGCACACACATATATATGCATATATATGTGTGTGTGTGTACACATACATGCACATACACATACTTCTATCTCTGTATTCGTCTAAATATTTATTTAGACTTGAGCAAAGCCCTCTTATCTAGAAACTTTTGTTCCATGTACGATTTACTTTTATTTACACCAGCGCATAGAAAGCCTTTGCATGAACACATCATTATGAGAAGACTGTTAAGTTTTTATCTCGCGCCGCTAATATGTCCCGTAGGCACCGCGGATGTTTATAGTCTGGCTGCAAGAACTGGTTCCCTCCGATGGTAATTTCGGAGTCAGGTTGGCGTGCGATTCCCGTAGAGTTATGTCGGTTGAAGGTCTGCTATAATGATTACCATAGTTGGGGTACTTTGCCTACCTGATATTCTCGTCCTCGTTTCTAACTTATGTTTGACGTTCGTGAATGATGTGGAAGTGAATGCAGTGCAGCGTCTTTTCGTGAATCGAAGTAATATGTGATGATTGGAGTAACAGGTGAATTTTGTGCTAATATTTTTATTCGCAGTTCTCATGGGGTGGTATAAAATGCGCTTATACTTGTGTGTGTTTGTTCGTGCTGTACAGTTAGATAGCTATGTAACCATCTAATTATCTAGACGAGCATGGTAGTCCGCGGTACTACACGCAGTGAAATTTCTCAAGTGATATGTAATAGTTATATATCCTTAGACAACGAGCCATGTCCTGTGAATGAGGTTTTGAAATCAGACACGCAGACACACCTATTTGATCGAGACTATGGTACGCACATTAACTAATATGAAATTCACAACTTGACATTGAATAGATTGGTAATTAATTCAGCATTTATTACGCTATAATCATCAGCTGAATAATCAGGTTTGAACTGATTGATAATTAATTCAGGACACAATGCCAAATTAGCCTCCTCTCTGGCGTATATTATCCTTACATGATGGAACACAAATAGCAGGTACAAGAAACTTTATACAAAACGTCGACATAAACCAAGAGATGAAACAAGCAATCTTCATCTTCTATCCAGGTCAGTCTTAACATGCAGTGATTCTGCACCTCACATCATAGTAACAGCGTAATCAAGAAAGTATATAACAAAAAAGTGACACTTGCAATGCAGAATGAAGCAGGCAAGGTAGTTAAATCGCGATTGAGTGAACTTTTATTTACATTGCGATGCTGCGTCCACTCGCGCTGATTATGCGAAATTTGCACGACTGAGAATGCCAAGTTTGCATAGCACGCTCACTTAACTGGCCTCTAGCTGTGTCCTAAACCAATTCCTCTGGTCTTGTCTTTAGAATTATAGCATATTTATGATTGAATATCTACACAAGCACCTGTTGTATTGAACACTAATAGCTTTATTGTGTGTTCGATGAAGTACTTCATGTAAGTGAAGAGGCAAATTATAAAAATCACCAAAAGAAAATACCAAAAATAAAGTAAATCTAATCCATAGCTAGAGAGTTGAAACGCGGCGGGCCAAGACCAATCATGTGGCCGGGTGGTGCGAGAGGGGCGGGGCTTCTCGTCTCTCAACGCTGCCAACACTACATTCATTGTATTTGCCAACTGGCTGCAGGAGAGTAGAGCTACGCTTCTTGGCCGTTCCGATAGTTGTGATTTGTTCAGATGAGGGGATTGTTTTGTTGAAAGCTTTGGAAGTGAGGTGAGGCCGGCAGCCTTCGGTAAGCCATTCGAGTGACGGTGTTAGGCAGTGCAAGCCGAGTGTGTTGTGCTCAGCGCCGCAGGAGAGGTGATGTTCCTAGTGGGGCAGGAGTAAGCGAGCAGTGGGTCGGTGGGCCACCTTCAGATGCTCAGATAACAGCGGCTCCAGCATGGCGGGGC